GAGAATGTAAGTGTTAAGACTAATGTTAAGACTAATTTTGTTTTTGACAACGGGCCCCAGGTGTTCAAGGTCCCCGAGGCACCCCCTACCTAGCTCTAGCCTCTAGTACTATAGCCTGCGTACAGTTGCCGCAGGACTAGAGCTACCCCCTACCTAAACTGACCATGCAGGCTCTTCGACTGTTACACGTCATAGGAGGGCCAACGTAGTGTTAAGCGAGAAGGGAACTTGTGGCTACCCCCTACCCACAGGCACTTGGAGCGTTTCAATAAAATATAATGCTAAATAAATAGGAAATCTATTTACTACCAAAGTCTTAATGTTTCTATACTCTCTTTCACCTATTATTGCCGACAATTTCCTGTAAATGCAGTCCAAATGCTCACCTGTAAACACACACCGCCGCCATTGCTGCTCACGCTGCACACTGACACTTAAATATCAGGGGCGGATCCAGAGGGTTTGGGTGACCAGTTTCCATATGTTCTTCTGCAGCTAGGGGGTCTGGGGGTATGACCCCCCAGTTTTTTTTTAAAATTAGGCTATATTTGGTGCATTCTGGTGAATTTTGAGGCCTGTGTCCGGTTTCTGGAAACCGGTGCAAACCGGCCTAAATCCGCGCCTGAATATATAGTATTACTATTACTATTTATAGTATTAGTAACTATATATTTAAGTGTCAGTGTGCAGCGTGAGCAGCAATGGCGCCGGCGTGTGTTTACACTACAGACGAGATTGAGCATTTGGACGGCATTTACAGGAAATTGTCGGCAATAAAACTAATACTAATAGTAATACTAGGTGAAAGAGAGTATAGAAACATTAAGACTTTGGTAGTAAATAGATTTCCTATTTATTTAGCATTACATTTTATTGAAACGCTCCAAGTGCCTGTGACAGTGTGGCTGTGCATAGCTCTAGTGCTATAGCCCGCGTTCATTAACTGCCGCCCCCCCCCCATCCCGGAGAATAGTGCGTAAGAAATTTTTTTATAACCAGCATGTACCAGGCCTTCATCGTTAACTACAACGCGTATAAGTCAGAGACAAAACTGTAACCCCGTTCTCGTACTTATTCATCACTGAATGAAACACTGGACCGGTTATAACGATTGCTAATATTACTACGTACTTTTGTATCCACTGATCTCTATAATAATATCTATAATATTATTATAGAGATCAGTGTTTGTATCACTTACTTATCAACAACTGAAACATGCGCCCTTGTTTACACGCGGCGCTGTGGTCAATGGCTAGATAGGAAACTTCTCACGAAACCCCGCATCTTCACTTCGTGGAAATAACCTGTTTTCCGCACATAAAGAGAGGGAAGGGCCCGTCTATATTTTCGCGGCGGCGGCGCTTGGATCGAGATTGTTGTTGTGCCAGCTTTACTGTTTACACTTTTACAGTAATTTAATTACTAATTAGTACACTTGTGTTACATATATGATATAGATTGAAATGTTTGTCTGCTCAAGAGTTATTAAAAGTTTGTTAGGTTTGTTTATTTGATTTCCAGTGCTTATTCTTAGATGCGCGAAACCACTGACTACAGTCTTCAGACTAGGCACCGCTGAGTTACTGCCCTCGGCTCTGGCACTGGCGCTCATACTCATAGTCATAGACATAAGCCGCGTTCACACGGTCATGGTTTGGCTCGAGCTAAATGGGCTAAATTTGGCTCGGGCCGGTTTGAGTCGGAGCGTTCACACTTACGCAAGTGAATACTGTCTGTCAAATTCAAATTCAAATAAATTTTATTGCACAAATATCTCACAGATACTTTGCCTTTGGCAGTATGTCGCGAGATGGCGTTGTGTACGATTCAGAGTGTTTACTTCCGTTCCTAGTTCAATTATCAATCTTGAAAACGTGCATGCGAGCCAAATCTGGCGCGGGCCTAATTAGGCTCGGGCCAAAAACGTCCGTGTGAACGCGCCTATAGGGTCTAGGCCCCCCAGGGTACTGCCGGAACGTACCCTGGGTACGGTCCGGTATACCGTAACGTACCCTGGTAACTATTTGATATGGTTAGGGTTAGGGAGTAGGCGTAGGCGACTCCCTATAGACTCGTTACGTTAGTGGAGTAGGCGAGGTACGGTCCGGCATATTAGATAGTACCAGGGTACGTTCCGGCAGTACCCTGGGGGACATAGACCCTCTCAGCGGCATTGCCGCACTGGCAGTGACACTGTCACTGGAAGTGGCAGTGGAGTGGTGCCATACTCTAGTGTATATTCTTATAATTAGATTATATAAAATAGAGATATATCATATACTGATATAGTGATGTACCACGCTTGGTCGCCGGATGTAGACATGGTAAAGTCCGTAACTTCTAAGCTATATGCCTGTGGGAAGCTGTAGGGGTCATATTTGGCAATTTTTTAACAGAGAATAAATTATAAGGCTGTGTACCAACTGAACTTAGCAAGAATGCTGCCAGGATGCATAACAAATCCGCGCGGGGTTGGGGGAAGGGTTGCATTATTCCATTACCTATTATTACAATAAAACTGTAACAAATGAAAAATATGAGAATTTGTGAGCGGCCGCCCCTTCAGACTGTGAGACGCTAAGCTGTAGCTTGTTTAGCTTATGGTTAAATCTGGCCCTGCACCAAGAACAGCGATTTATTAATTTGGGGTATATCAGTAATTATACTTACAGCATAGTTACATGCAACCATTTAGTCATGCCTATAGCCCGTCAACACAATATCGAAACCATGCAGTTCAGAGGCAGCTGCTCGTATACTACCCCTGCAGGGTTAATTATACTCTAATTCCTAAAAATGCCTAAAAAAAGGTATATTTCGCACCGGGATCAGGGGTCGTTGAGAAGACAAGGCAGTTGTATAGGTTGCCGAATGAGATGCAGCCTAGACACAATAATGTTATCCAATACAAGAGTAGGCCGGGTTGTACAAAAAGAAGTGTAGAAAGCTCATCTTTGCTTAAACTTACCACAACATTTAATAGCTACATTTACTTTTATTCGCAGCAGTTTGCAAAGCTATAGTTAATGCATGAGGCACCAATTTAACAACTTTCAGACTATTGCTTTGAAGTGTAATTTATAAATAGAGCTTGTTACATTATTTACCAATGTGCTATCGACTATCTGGCAAACTTAAAACCCTGAATGGTTGGCCAAATAGTTAATAATTTTTGTTATCATTAAATTGTTTTAAATTGTTTTGTGAAACTGTTGTCTCGTATACAGATGGTGGTAGGCAAACAAAGGCAGCTTTGAGACTAAGCATGAGAACCATGTCTTCAGGCATATCCTCGCAGTATAAGTACGAGACATTAGAGGTTTCGCAACCATCAGACAATGTGCTGCAGGTGATGCTGAACAGACCTGAGAAACGTAATGCTATGAACAGGATATTCTGGAAGTGAGTAGATTATACACATACACATACACGTGCCGTCACACACACACATATATATATATATATATATATCCAGGGTTCTCCTTAGGAATTTTCAGAAGGCATGTCGAGCAAATTCATCCCCGATTGCTAATTGGACTCAATTATGCATGTTGTAAGCAGACACATTTATACTCAGCGGCCCTGATATCAGTTCGAAGACGTATACATCAAGCTGTTAAAACACAGCATGTCTGTTGAAATTGTCAAAAGTAAACACGGCTGGAAGTTAAGGCATGTCAGTTTGGCAATTAAGGTATGTCGGAGTATTTATGGGATGTCGCAAGTTTGCTTCAGCTTTAAATGCATGTCAACCGTGGCATGTGTTATAGGCCTGGGGAGAACCCTGATATAAATATACATATATATACACGAGTGGACACACATTCACGCACACACGTGTATATTGTAATATTCTAGGCCAGTAGTATTGATAGTAGAACATAATATATAGGATTGCAGTATTTCTTCTGGGGGCAGTCCTAGAAGATATTTAGAAGTAGCAGTGGCCATTAGTAGCAGCCAGCACATGTAATCAGCAGATCTATACCATTCTAGGTATAACGAGATGAGGCCTTTCGCTGTGGTGTGCTAATATATTATTATTATTATATAATTATTGGTATAATTATTGGTGGCGCAATTGTCATTGCAATGGGTTGTATAACTACAGAAAACGTGCACTTCATTAAAGGCTTGCAATAAATGTAAAAGTAAACGTTCATCTATTAAAGGTCATACAAAATTCTTGTGAGAATTCATGTGTAAGAAACTTATCAATTGCAATTATTGTTTTAGAGAGATGGTTGAGTGCTTCACTCAGATTGATGGTGATCAAGACTGCCGTGCAGTAGTACTATGTGCTGCTGGTCAAACGTTTACTTCAGGTAAACAATTTAATTAATTAATTTTTCAGCTCCTGATTAGGCTCCTGATTAGTAATGTCCAAAAACAACCTACTTCATAAGATTGCTAGCTATTTCGTATTGTTGAGTATTTTAGTACAGTATTTCATTAGGAAAGCTGCCAGGTTTGCAAATATTGTTACGATCAAATGTGACAATGCTCATGACTCCTCCCTGAATCTTTATGTCTTGCGTCACTGCAATACAAGCAAAAAGTTTAGATTTTTGTCTGACTTTATGTAGGTTTGGACCTCACAGATGCTCAAGAGGTCTTTCAAGCTGCTGAAGATAAGGATATTGCTAGAAGAGCCTTTTTCTTGCGAGAACTGATCAGGGGTTATCAGGAGAGCTTCACCGTAATTGAAAAGGTAAACACTTACGATAGCTTGATTATTGGATGTACGGTAGAATACCACCTAGGAAAGCCCTTACTATGTTTGCCTTAGTTGACATAAAGTCTGGTACATGGTGCTGTCATTGCTAGGATTTATCTGCAGTCCAGATAAATCCTTGTCTTACTTCATACATGCACGTTTTGTTAGAAATATGGAGTGCAATATCTAAATGGCTAAATAGTTTACAAAATCCTCAGACCAATGCAATAGTTACAGGATGTATGACTAAACTGGTTTATTTGCCTTTGTTTCTAAATGAAGAAAAGATCGAGATTGAAAGTGAATAAAAAATAGTAATAGGTTATCCCTTGTTGAGGTTTACCCACTTGTAAACAATTTTATCTTGTTACTGTTAATAATTTGGAAATATCAAATTTTGATGGTTCCACTCTTTGGTACATGTATGACTCTTGCATTTATTACAGTGCAAAAAACCTGTATTGGCAGCCATTCACAGCGCCTGCATAGGAGGCGGTGTTGACATGGTAACAGCTTGCGACATCAGATATTGCACTCAGGATGCGTGGTTCGAGATCAAGGTATTCACCTTGATAACAGTGCTAGACAGGTTTTAAATCGAATGGATACAGTTGTTACAGACTCATCACACAATGCCACTGTCAGTACAGTTGATTTCATTATCTCGTAACGGCTCATAGATCCAGTATTCTTTCCAACGCTTCAAACCATACAGGAAGTCGACATAGGCTTGGCAGCAGATGTGGGCACACTGCAAAGAATCCCGAAAATCATTGGGAATGACAGCTTGGTGCGTGAGCTGGTGTACACTGGACGCAGGCTCTATGCTGATGAAGCAAAAGAGTGTGGTCTTGTTAACAGAGTCTTTCAGGGTATGTTTAGTATATTAATTGACTTCCTGTAATTGCATTCCTTATAAAAATTTGCATTATTGTCACTTTACACATTGTACACATTTCTGTAAATCACAGTAGTAGCTCAAGTCTTGTTCACATTTTTTTTTTTATGTATTCAACCGTAATATTATAGCAGTGTGTGTAAAAAGTTGTAGTGAGGAAAGGACTATGAATGCAAATACATGTACTTTGTTTTACTGCAGACAAAGAAGTGATGTTACAGAGTGCATTAGACCTGGCCGTATTGATAGCATCAAAGAGTCCTGTGGCTGTACAAAGTAGCAAAGTGGCATTGATTTATTCCAGGGATCATTCTGTACCCGAATCTTTGGATCAAATGGTGAGTTTTTAGACTTTCAGTCATAGTCCAGTAAAATTCAGATGCATCTACAAAGTTTGCAATAGTGTTGAATTTTATGTGATTATAAAAACAAACAAAAACTCCAGCTAAATTTTAATCTGCATTGCAGTTTCTTTAGGTTATTGTTTTAATATCAAGCCAAAATAAATAAAACACTAATGAGCAGCCCAAACACCAAATCACAGACCAAACGAATCTGAGCTATGCATATTTTGGTTATGGTGTTTGTTGTTTTGCGACTAAGCATAACTTTAAAGCCACAGTATGACCATCTAATCGGCATTGTGAAGGATAGACTCAAGGTTATGAACAGTTACTCTGTAAAGGACAATGGCCCAATCCTATAGTTTAGCACCCTGCATTAATTTAGCACATTCGCAAAAGATTGATGGCCGTCCCTCTACACACACCGGGAAAATAATCACAAAAACTTCATCGCTAATTGCATGACAGCAAAAATTGTAAATTTATATGAAAAAATTTCTTTTTTTAACATTTCTTAGAAAAGAGCAAAGGGTTGGGTGGGACCTATAAACGTTTAGCCATACGAGTTGTTCATAGTATGCACTAGTAAATTGCTACTTTTAGTACTCACTGTGACTTATCTGTGGTTGATTATCATCAACAAACTTGAAAAAAGTTGTTTTGTTATAAATAAATTGACAAAGCAACTGATCTGTTTCAATCTCCCATTCACCGCCAACTAATTAATGCTAGCTGTGACGTCTACAACAACAGCTATTGTTTCTGATTTGTGTGCTGGGGTGGGATGCAATGAATTCTGGGGTAGCGCGTGCTAATGACATAACTAGGAGTTAAATATTTAAAGGGCGAGCCGAGTCGTGCACAGCCAGGTAGGCATATGCGGGGATTTTGAACTGTTGGGAGACCACATACATAGCTGCCCAGTGGTGCCATCTATCAAATATATTGTGTATTAAAATTTTAGATTATTAGAACAACTGCCACTTTGTGCTGTTTATGGACAGCCTAACGTGTTCTGGCGGTAGGGTTATATACTTATAAATGACACAAGGTGTCGGTTATAGCAGTACAGATTAGATAGACATATTGAGCTTTAACTAGAACTCGAGGATGTGTTTCTACATTTATCCGTCTCCACTATTGTAGATTCTTTACATCACTTTATCGGTGCAGCCCACTATTACTCATAGTAATGTGTTTACTCATATATTTCTAGGCAACGTGGAACATGTCCATGCTGCAAACAGAAGACATCATGAAGGCAGTAGTTGCACTCATGTCAAAAGCAAAAGATCCACCAAATTTCTCAAAGCTCTGATTGCACAGTCACTTGTTATAGATCCACATGTTCGTTGGTTGGTAGATTAATTCTTATGTTTGTTATGTTTATATTTTGTCATTTTAAATTGGTTGCTGAATATTGAATATTTGCAAAATTTATAAATGTATTCACAATTTTTCAAAAAAAATGTATGGAAAGCAATAAAAATTAACATCTATGTAAAGTTATTTGTATAGCAAACATAAATCTAATGAATGATATTGTTTATCTTTGTGATTGTATATTGTATAAAATAATGAATTTCAAATATATAAAATTGTAATGCCTGAATGCTTGATTCCCAGGGGGGTCACTCCCAAACTAAAGTGGTATGCATGCTCGTCAAAGCATCTCAAAATGGACTCTAAATGGTGTATTCAGCGGTAGCAAATTTCACCCATTATTGGCGTAAGATAATGTAAATCTTACCCCTAAATGGCGTAAGACACTAAAATGGATCCCCTAAATGGCATAGCACGTATACTGCGCATATTCTACTTTAACGCCCATCAGAATCTGACGTTGAGACTAGAAAACCCGGGGAGAATCCTTTTGAGAACGTAAACACGGAAATAAATGGATGAATCGAATGACAAAAACCGGGCAACCTGAAAAGGCACTCCTTTTTCTAAAGACGGTGTAGACGCTACAGGGTCAAAATCGGACCCTTTTTTGACATTTCCTCTGACGAGCATGCGTACCACTTTAGTATGGGAGTGACCCCCCCTCCCCCGGGGCTTGATTAAGCTTGTGCCAGTAGTGCACTGCACGTGCCCTTGTGTAATACATGCTGTGATTATACATATGTTACGGATTAGCTGTTTTCTCTCTGTTTCCGATGTCTATCGACCTGAACCTCTCTGACCCAGCCCCACTCTATATACTATCTCTATATACTAACATGCAGTTTGGATCAGGGGTCCCAGCCCCAGAGGTCACTGATTACAACCTGAGCACAATATATACGTCAGGAATATATGATCTCAAAGAGATTATTTACTCCTGATACGCATGTATAGGTGGAATACAACAGTAGCCTTCCGCCAATTGTTCACTATTTCGTCTTTGGAAAATTCATTTATTTCTTTTGAATTTTGTTGTGGTAAAATTCAGAACTAGAGTTCACTATAGTTTGCATTATGAACGCAAGTAGATATCTCGTGGACGTCTAGATGGCATTAAAAGTGAGATTGGTCTTGTCGTGTAATTGTGCCATTCCGTCAAGTGGTGTAGCCATGGTGACCGGTCGGCCTTTTTAGCTCATCTGACATAGTCAGATGCAGCTTGTAGAATCGCATGCGTCCGTCCGTCCGTCCGTGCGTCCGTGCGTCCGTCCGTCAACAGTTGGGCACAAATCTAAACGGCTCGACGTACGGATTCGAAAGTCGGGACGTGGGGGGGTAATCCGAAAACGAGTTGGGATGTTGAAGCTGGGGGGTCAAAGGTCAAAGGTCAAGAGGTGTAAAAGAAGGGGGAACGGGGGGGGGGGGGTAATCCGAAAACGAGTTGGGATGTCGAAGCTAGGGGTCAAAGGTCAAAGGTCCAGAGGTGTAAAAGAATGGGGGAACATTCCCTCCT